TTAAAGTGAGTGAAACATACGACAACATATATATATGCAAAGTTCAAACAAAACACAAAAGTCTTTGCATAAAACACTTGTGTATATATATATATATATATATATATATATTTTATATATAAAATTCTTAAAAAGGTTAGCATGTATCTGCTTGCAAAAGACTAGGTACCAAAAACAATATGAATTTTGAACTTATCTGTTTAGTTTAGTTTGATTGAAATTATACATCTTCTTTTTAAAAAAAACAAAAAAAAAAGATTTTTTTCATTTTAATGATTTTTTTTGCAAGTTTCTCATCAGGTCACATGACTGTTTTTTATTCTTTGAATACAAAAAATTCATTTTTTATTATTATTATTTTTTTTCTAAATTTATCAAAATATAATTTTTCTTTATTTTGAAACATATCATCTTTAAGTTTAAAATATTGCAGAAATGCATTTTTAAATTGACAGTAGCTGAGTTGATGTGCTGGCTATTTGATGATTTAATTAATTTTGAAATAAAATTTTTATCTATAAAAAATGATTGAAAAAATAACATGAAAAGCACTTTTTTAATAATTTTTATTTCATTACTCAGTAATCTAAAAAATTTAAGAAAATATTCTCCATAATCTAATATTTTATTGAATCTTAGAAACTTTGGTTTTAAATTTACTGTAGTCATTGCATTTACTTTCTGATAATGTTTGGTATGGTTGTCCATACTTACAAAAATTGGCATGTTTACATACAAAAGGAAATTCAAAATTCTTTTAAAAATATTGGTGTTTCGTAATTTGTATTAAGCTTTTCTATCTATGATTAGTAAATATAATTTTCACTTAATAAAAAAGGCTGAAATTAATACAGAATTTTAAAAGAATTAAAACTCAAATTTTTCTACTTAGAATTTAAAAAAATAAAAATTTTTGTAAAAAAAAAAAAATCATTATTTTTTATTGAAAATTTTTTTTCTCAAGACAATAGTGTCATAATATATCTTTATTTAAAAAAAAAATTTTCAAATTAAATAATGTCATAGTTTTATTGCATTTTTTTATTTTATGATTCAGAGCAAATTTTTGGTAAATGGTGTTTCTGTTTGACAAAAACAAATTGATGATTCAAATTCTTCACAAAGTTCTGCATTTAACTAATATAAATATGAAGAGATTGGAATTTTAATTTTAATAAATATGAAGAGATTGGAATTTTAATTTCTCAGAATTTCATAAAATTAAGTCATGGAAACAGATGTTAAAAAAAAAATATTTTTACACAGATTTTCTAAAAAAAAATTTTTTTTTAATAATTTCATTAATTTGTGAATAAGTCCTGAAAATTTGATTAAAATCCGACAATTTTTGAAAGAATTTCCAAAACAATGTTTTTACCACAAAAAAGATGCCAAATTTCCCATACTAATCTTTGGCCCACCCACTGATGTAAGAAAAACAAAATTTTTAACCAAAATTTCAAACATGCCAGAAAGGATTAAAAATTTTAATAAAATATTCAAAAAATATTTTGGTCTTTCCTCTTAATAATAACAACATAAACATCTGATAAAATAAAATTTTTAATGATTTTATCAAGTTTATTTTTTTTTTCTCATCATGATATGCTCTTCAAAGAAAATTTTTATTTAATAACTAATTCAGACATTCAGATATCATGCATGGAACGAAACTTATTTAGAAATATCAGAAACCATAGGAATTTTTCTTATTTGTTTCATACATTAAAATAATATCTCTATTGAGTTTAGAAACCTTGGTGATTGACTTTTTGATAGTTTCAAGGGGATGATTTCTACCTGGGAATGTAATCGAATAGTTGTCTGATATGTTTTTTGTAATTCCCATTATAAGAACAAATATATTTTATGGGTAAATACTGGCTATAGATTATTTAATTTTTTTTAAGGTCGGCAAGGTGGCAGCTATTAAAATTTAGTTAGCAATAACCATCTGCAAGTTTAGTATATAGTGATGCAGAAATAGGGTGGTTGTTTAGACATATCAGTACATCCAGAAACAGAATGGATTTGGCTGAATTTGTGAATTTGATGGTGCTGTGAAAATTATTGACATATTATTTGAAGTCATGGAGAGTGTCCTCAACATGTGTAAGAATTCTACTCTGCTATTGCTGTGTGTCTTTTCAAATAATCCCCTTTTGTATTCACTTGGGGTTTTTTGTGTGTGTTTAACCTTTATCACACTGTATGTGACTTTATTTGCTATGCAAAAAGTTTATCCTGTCACTGAAGATCACTGATCCCTAAATTTGAATTTGTTTGAATTTCATAGTTGTGTTGTCATATCCTGCTATGGCAGCAGAAAACAACTTTGAGTGAACTTAACAATAAGGATACTGCAATTAAAAGCCCTTGAAAAAGAATGCAGTGAAAAGGGAAGTAATATTAATAATGCAGAATGCTAAAGGTTAATGATATCTGCTCTGGTACAACAATTTTTGATCGGCATTGTTGAGCACATTTGCTGTTTGCATTTTACACTCCTTTGCTGTAGTGCTATTTTTCTCCTGCCATTGAGCACTTTATTCTTGTCTTTCTTTTTCCACAAATTTCAATGACTTTACAGCTATGCCTCCCCTAGGTGATTTTGGTTGGTGAGTATATATGTGTTCTTCCCTTATTATGACATCTGGGATTTTAAGCCTGCTCCATGGCTGAGTTGGTTAAGCTACATAGGATCTAATAACAGTTTCTCTCTGTCCAGAGGGATGCAAGTTCAAATCCTTCCAGAGAGAACATATTTTTCCTTAATAAGATTTCTTAAATAAATGGGGTATCTACTCAAATATGAGCTAAAAATATTGTTTAAAGTGATAAAAATCTGTCAGATTAATAAATAAAATCCATTACCTTAGAAAATAACTTTGTTTACATTTGGATACAAAACTGAACAGATTTGAGGCATTGTCTACAAGAGGGATATCAGTTAAAGGCAAGTTTCAAATTTTGCTTGGTCGGCAAGGCTGCTCCGTGGTGGAGTCTGTTAAGGCAAATTGGATCTAACAATGGTTTCACGCTGGACAGAAGGTTCAAATCCTGCCAGAGAGAGAATATTTTTTTTCTTAATAAGATTTCTAGAATATTCAGGTCAGTAGACGAAAATAAATAAATAAATATACTGTTTAATAAATAATTGGCGCGTTTACTCAAATATCCACTAAAAATAACGTTTTAAATGAGAAAAATGTGTCAGATTGACAAATAAAAAAATTCATTACCTTAGAAAATGACTGTTTATGTTTAGATAGAAAACATGACAGATATGAAAATTTTGAGACATTGTCTCTAAGAGAGATTTCAGCAAGGCTGCTCCATGGCCAAGTCTGTTAAGGCAAATTGGATCTAACAATGGTTTCTCTCTGGACAGAAGGTTCAAATCATGCTGGAGAGCATATATTTTTCTTTAATAGGATATCTTTAATATTCAGGCCAGTAGATGAAAATAAATAAATATACTGTTTAATAAATAAGTGGAGCATCAAATCAAATAAAAATATCCACAATAATAATGTTTAAATTGATATATATATATATATATATTTAAAATATAGTTTCATAGTATGTGATACAGGATGTGATGGGTAAATAGTAGCTATTTTATATTTTTAATTTTGTGCAGGCGCGTTGTTTTTGTTGACTGCACAGTATAGTAAGAGTCATTTGGGCACTGTGTGTGAGAAAAAGAACACCATGATGCAATTCACTCGACCAGAAATTTGGAAACGTCATGCTGTACTGCTTGGCATTTTCACAAGATCTAATACAAACATTTTAGAGTGTCTGATGTCAATGACAGTGCAGAGGATTCAGAATGATTTGGATGAGTGTAATGGTGATTACGAAGGTGTTTGGATTGATCACTAGTGATGGAGACATTATGCCTCCATACATCTTCCCACAGGGCCTCAGACATAACATTGAGGAGGTAGTGCTGCCTTGGGTGAAGAGGTGCCTGCTGGAAGACCTTATGTCTGGCAAAAGGACACTGTACCATGCTACACAAGCAGAATAATCCAGTCATGGCTGTTAGACAATTTCTACAACCACATCACCGCTTACATTTGGCCACCTAACTCCCCAGACTGCAACCCCCTTGATTATTATGTTGTTGGGCGCAGTTGAGCAAGAGACCAGCAAAACTCCTTGTAATACCAAAGATGAACTGAAGGCAAGGATTATGGTAGCATTCACCAACTTAAACAAGGAGACTTGTCCAGAAGAGATGCAGGAGATTCCAAAGTCATCTGGAGTCTGTGGTTGAAGCCAGTGGCGATCTTATTGAATAAATTTTCTCTTTTGTATTTCAAGATATTTTTGTGTAATTTTGGTAAATATATCTGTTAAAATGAGATGTCAGTGTTATTTTCATTTTTGTACAATTTAGACGACAATTTATCCATCGCATTCTCTATTTATGGGTAAACGTGCACAATATCAGGGATATTTTTAATTATTAACAATAAATATTGGAAAAGGCTATTTGAGGTCAACAGTCTGTTACATGCTTGAATGCAATCCAGCCATTAGGATAATAAAAGAGACCTTGCTACATATAATGCACCATTGGCTAACATATATAAATATGGCCTGATGATTACACTCCAGCATGAAACAGTCATAGGTAGATATTTGATTTTGGAATGATTGGTTTTGTTTAATTATCAACACCTCTATGAGTTATTTAATGCTGAAATCTAAATATTTTGTATGCAATTTTTTATCAAGGATTTTAAATTTGACAACATTCATGAATATTCATGAGGTGGTTCAAAGGTTAGTCAAAACATGCAGAGGGCACAGAATACCATAATTCAAAGTCTGATATGACAAAAGTAAGCAAGTAATATTCAATAATTTCTTTTAATATATAAGTGCACACACACACACACAGATAGGCAGATGGATTGGTTGCTTGCTTGCTTGCTTGCTTTTAACTGGTTTAATTATTGTGTTCTCTACAATAAGAAAACTGTTACCTCTATTTTTGTGTCTCCTAATTCAATAAAAGCAGTTGTTACTCCGTGCTCAGGTAGATCCTGAAACAGAAAGAAATATTTCAATTTCAACCACAACAAACATTCAGGGGAGATAATCGGAAGTTTACATTTCATATTACTGTGCTCTAAAATATATTCAGATAAAAGTCGGCTAGTTTTATTACAATTCATTTCTTGCCTTAAAATGGTCAATTTTCACCATTCCAAGTTTGACATCTCCCTTTTCTCTTCTGATGGCTTCAAAGTTTTGGGTTCCGATGCTGATGGAACATCACCAGTTGGTACGGTTTGAGTCTTGTGTTTCAAATGTTTTAGATTTAAGTCCAGTGGCTTTGAGTGTTGTTTTTGAGTTGGTCCTTGTATCTTTGAATAGGGCAACCTCATGGTCTTTTCCTTGAAGTCAGCTCACTTAATAAGACTTGTCCTGGAAACTTTGATTCTTCTATTCTTTCTACATCTCCTGACCATGGAAGATGATGTTACATGATCAGCAATTTGATGCCTTGACTGTTGGCTCTTTCGAGGTCTTTGGTGTTGCTAATATAGTAATTCCATGAAAGCTTTCTAATTTTCGGATATCTCTGTGATATAGAGTCCAGGTTTTGTAACCATAGAACAAAAGTTGAATTGACAACATTATTTGAAACCATAAATTTTGTTTTTTAAGTTCAGATCTTTGTTGTTACAGGCGCTTTTGATGAACTTTCCAAAAACCCCCCCCCCATGTACAGCTCCAATTGTGTGTGCCACATTACGTTCTGAGGTATACTTGTTTGATAAAAGGCTGCCAAGATATGGAAAATGATCTACCCTATTTCTTATGGTATATCACAGATGGTAATATTAAAATCTGGTAAGATGGTATTTGAGGATGGCTGTGAAAGAATCTTGGTTTTCTTGATGTTTACTACAAGGCCAAAGTAATTGTAGGCCATAGCAAAGTTGACATGGTATAAAAAAAGAATAATAGTATTAAATGTAATAGTCTTTGAATTCATTAGTTATTTTTAATTTTTAAAAAATATTTCTTTCATCTTGATTTCTGTTTTTCTTGTAATTCCAAAATCATCTTTCTTGATCATCAGCAAACAGCACAGATCGCAAGAATAAAATGAACCTTACTCTATTCCCAGTCGAAGTTGTCTAATTAACAATGTCAATTTTTGTATGGGCACCCAATGATTATCAAACTCACTCCTCAGTAATAATAACCAACCAGACTAGCCTTGTTAACCATGATAGGGCACTTTCCGAGTTAAGTTAAATAGATAAATCCAAAAGTATATAAGATATAAAATGAATATACAAAAATCAATCTGTTAATCCTTTTGTTTAAAACACTGCTAGCAGAGCAGTCAAATTTAATTTCAATTAACAGCAACAAGAAAAATTATTATGATCAAGCTCAAACTTTGAAACTTAACATGGCCTTTTAATAGTTTAAAATTTGAATGGGCATAGATGTTTATCCTTTGTTTCCTGTTTAGGATTGGGTTTCTGGTTATTTCTGAAGTCTACTTCAATTTTATACTTCTAACGTCTCCACCTAAACTGTGAAATTTCATTTACTATTTGTTTTTTTCTAAGTAAAATAGATGAGTTCACCTATCATCAGGTTCACACTCCTCCCCAGTCTTTTGAACAGGAGGAGGACTTTATCCCTTGTTTCCTTTTTAGAATTGGGTTTTTGATTCCTTCTTAAGTTTCCTCATTCTCTTTCATTTTTGTAGCTCTATAACATATTTAGTAAAAAAATTTTTTTGCTTGGGGTGAAGTGATAAAAAAAAAAATATTGGCTCCTGAAAAATATTTCAGCAATCTTATACCTTTATGTCTACAAAAAATTGGAGTGTCAAAAGAATGTTTTTTTTTCCTTTGACACCACTATTATTTTAACTACCTTCACTCCTCAGCAATGTTTATTGTTTTAAAACATGATGATTAGATTGTTAGAATGGTTAACAAAACATCAGCTAATTGCCAATCGATTCAAACTTTAAAAAATGACAAAGGATTTCCTTATCGTTGGTTCACATATTTTAATAATAATTTAGTAGTTCTTTATAAATTTCTGAATAAAAAATTGATTTTTGTTGATAAACTACATTCGACAACAAGGCTTCTGATTGAGAGATTGGGGATTTCAAGGGAAACCACCTTATTACTGTTGCCCCCAGGTCCACCTTTCAACAGACCATGTTTAACCATTTGTCTCGAGTTTGACACATAAACTACACCTGGCAGCAAAGCCTCTGATTAGGAGATTGAAGGTATTGTGGAACCACCACTTAATTGTTGTTGTTCTCAGGTCCACCTTGACCCGGGGTGGTAGCACCTGTTAGGGTCCTAGCTATGGGTAAATAGTGAAACCCAACAAAAACAAAACATTATGAAAGTATAAAAATACATTTTTATAGTAAAAATACCAGCAATACATTTTTATGTAAAAAATGACCAACAATACATATTTATAGTAAAATGACCAACAATACATTTTATCTCTAGTTGAAGGCCTACAATTGCATTCAAAATATATTTAGTTGAAGCTATAAAATTGTGTTCAAATTATTTAGATTTCGGCTTTAAATAACCTATAGATTGTATGCTGCTAACATGAAAGAACACTTAGTCCACATAATATTTGACAATTTTTTAAAGAAATCAAACTGTATTCCCAAATATAACTTCAAAAAAACTAGAACATAAAACACACATATAACTGCCTTTAGAAATTATGTCCACACAAATATTGTAAATATATAAAAACTGAGTATCATTTACCATGTATTCAATTGTGAAAGTAGAATAACATTTTTATTATTTCAAAGCTCCCCAGAAATTAAATTTCAGCATTAAATGTCCCATAAGGATTTGATATGCTGTTAGACAAAATCAAACAAACAACATGAAAAAACATTAGTTTTTAGAATGCTGTAAATATAAAATTATTCTTGTAAATAAACAATCTAATAGTTTTTAATATTGTTGTTGTAAATTCCCAAGAATAAAAAAAATGTATAAATTCACTTTCATCATTTGTTCAGGTTTTATTCCAATTCTAATCATCACTTTTTGAAACCATAAACATTGCCAAGGAGAGAAGGTAGTTAAAATAATAGCAGTGTCAAGGGAAAAATCATCCTTTTCGCTCTCCATTCTTTTTTGCAGGCATGAATATCCAAGATTGCTGAAAGATTTTTCAAGAGAGAAGAAAGTGAAAAATGGAATGGAGGAAAAATTCATGATGAGTTAATGAGTTAATTAGTTTCTCACCAATTTTTTACTGACTTTGGCACCAAATGCATTTTTGTACAATGCCATGGATTTGTCAAGATCAGCAACAGCAATGGCAACATGGTTGAGTTTCCCAATCTTCCAATCCTGTGTCAAATATAAAAAAAAAAAACATCCAGACATTTATATAAATAACATTACATGCACAGAGATTTACCGTAGGCAATGTGAACATTTTAGTTTAATTTATGATAAGCAGAAAATATAACACATAAATATTATTTGTTAATGTTTCCTTTAAGCTTTTTAACTAAAAATTGGCAGAAAAAATATAATTTGTTTGGTTCTGTTTATTAAAGGATTAGTTCTTACAATTTGATCCTAACCGGCCAAATGTTTGTCTTTCAAAACATTTCTCTTAATAATAATTTTAAAAAATTCAACACACAATATTATTTCATTTATGGTAATTGGATTTTTGGCAATTACCTGACTCGGTTTGTTGTTCAATAGTGCGCATCTATTTTATCAGTTGTCATAACTTCTTAGCCATTATTGGGGATTGGAGTTTAAAACTTTTACGCCAATGCCTGGTAGTGGGGGTCTTCCCCCAGACAGTACTTCTCCTTTGGGAGGAGCCTTGGTTTATTGCCTAAAAAGGAGAAGTGCCAAGGGGGCTTGGACAATAAAAAATGTTATTTTTCTTTTTTTTATGAATACAAATTGTATCCTTCTAATGCAACAAAATTTGTAGCTCATGGTACATCGGGATAAAGAGTGAGAGGGAGAGAGCATGAGAGAAACACTCTCCTTCTTTGTAGCTGGTGATCATCATGATTAGTTTTTTGGTGGTTAGAGTGGAGTAGACCAGCCTGTCCAGCTTTTTGGCAAAAGGCTAGAGAGTACTGACCTCAAAACCCACTTTTCCTGGGTTTATATTGAGGTTGATAAGTGGTCAGAGAGAATGCATTGAGTGACTATTGGATTTTCCTTTGCTTTAGTCTGTGACCTTTTGTTTTGCTTATCCAAGTATCTGGTTTCAGAAACAAAGCTGATAAAACAGTCCTTAATAATGCTGGTGTTGATATTAAAGAGATGTTAAAGGGTGGGGAGGATAAGTAGGTGATACATTTCAGGGGATTTAAGAAATATTTTTATTGTATTTATGAAACATTGCCTACTGCTCCACTGTGAACATGTCTTTTTAACACAACTATTATTGCTTGTTTAAATTTCATGCCTTGTGCATTTTTGATCCAGACTCGAATGAGACTGTTAAATATTCTTTACAGAACAAATAACATCAAATGTCATAAAATTATAACTCTTTCCATTCTGGAACAAACTTTCCATCCATTCTGTACATAAAATTGATCAAAAATAATTTTGATATATTTAATAGTAGGAAAAAATAAAAAGAATATTGATTATATTCTTACTAAAAATATTACACAGGGTTCATAGCTCACGGTATGTTGGAACAAAGAGTTTGAGAAAGAGAAAAAAAGAGACAGAAAAGTGACTCCTCCTTCTTTTGTATTTGAGCAATAATCGATTACTTCTTTGGTGGCTCAATTGGAGTGAACTAAAATTTTTACTTTCTAGCAAAAAGGGAAAGAGAACTGACCTTGATGCTCACTTTTCTTGGGATTATATTGTCAGCAAGTGGTTAGAGAATGCGGTGGATGTATGCAGGATTGTTCTTTGCTTTGATACAGGGTCTTTAATCTTTTATTTTGTTTATCCAAGTATCTGGTTTCAGAAACAAAGCTGATTCACCAGTCCTTAAGAATGTTAGTGTTGATATTAAAGAGATGTTAAAGAGAGGGTAGGATAAGTAGGTGATACATTTCAGGGGATTTAAGAAATATTTTTATTTTATTTATTAAATTTTATCTACCACTCCATTGTAAACATTTTTTTTTAACACAATTACTAATTGTTGTTTAAATTCCATTTCTCTACATTATTCATCCAGACTCACATAATATCAGATGTGAAATAATAATTCTGAGTAATGTTGTTTTGGAAGGTTTATTTTCTTTTTTACAAATACAAGTTGTATCCTTTTTCTGTGACAGAGTTTGTAGCCGTTGAAGATTTGCTATCATTTCTCTTTATGGACAAATGAGAAAATGGTAAATTCAAGCTTGGAATTCAAGAAATTCCCTCAATAAATTCCAAATTGATTTTTATTCCTTAACATGTGAGAGAAGAGCCTAAAGTAATGATAAATTTATTATAATTACAAGAGTGAACTAAAATATTTCGGTTTTTCAAACTTGCACCAGAATGTTTAATAAATATTGACTTAAAAATATAGCCTCATGAATTAAAGTGTTGGTTTATGAATTTGTTGGTAGAATAGTTGTGAGTTCAATCTCTGGGCCAGGTAGTACAGATTCCAACTCAGTATGAGGAATTAATGAGCATTATTATTATTATTATTATTGTTGTCCCTGGATTTTTTTTTTTTTTTTTAATTGGTATCACCCCATGCAAGGCATTAAATCCACTAAGGGATTACAGGGTGTGAAAGAATTAGGAACAGAAACATTAATAATGAGCAGGGAGAGAAAAGAGTAATTATGAGAACAGTAGATAGTGATTGACATTGCATTTAAATTCTTGCAGATTAAAGTTGGTTAGAAAGTATGGAGCCGGAAAAGAGTTCCACAAACAAGAAGTGCGATAAAAGAAACTGTTAGCAGAGAACTTACAGCTAAATCTAGCCAGTTCAACTGCAAACTGATGAGATCTTGATGCCAGTCTAGTCCTGCACTTAAATTCATAAAGTCTAGGTACCATAGTGAAGAGTTCATCCAAACAATTACCATGAAAGTATTTATAAAAAAGGCACAAAGAGGCAATCTTATGGTGATGGGCAAGTGTCTGAAGCCGAGCCACCAGATCAGGACCAATAATATTGCTGATTCTTCTTTGGATCTTATCAAGGAGCTCAAGATAAATAGCAGGGTCACCAGACCATATGTGGCAGCAATATTCTAAGCATAGATGAATGACAGACTTATAGATATGTAAGATAGATTCTGGAAAGTAAAATTCTCTCATCTATTGGTAATTCCTCAATAGGAAACCCCAAATGCTCTATTAACAGACAAAATCAACAATAATTTTCCTCACGTTTCTTTTTTTCTCACTTTATTTTAGAGAGGATGTAGTTGGCGTTATTTCTTAGAGGAAGCGAGAGAGAAAAAAAACGATTGCATGCCAGCAAAACAGCTATTATTCCCTTCAGATATGTGACATGACTCCCTGCTGAAACCATTAGTATGCAGAGCATTCTGGGAAAGGAAGGCCTGGACAAGCATCAAAACTCTTGACTTGCCCATTTTCACACATTTTTCAGTCTTATATCAAATAAGCTTAGATATGATGAATGGGTCTTCTCTCAAGAAGGTTCATTGTCTTAAAACACAAGCTCTTTCCAGACCCCAAGTGAAACTCATATATCCAATCTATTGCTAAAAATGCCAGAAAAATGGTTGGTTCATTGTACTGCTCCAGTATTTATTCAACTCCCTGCTGCTATACTCTATCTTTACAAGAGCCTGATCAAAAATTGAGTATTGTGGCCATATCTGGGCTGGAGCTGCCCAGTCCTCACTCTACTGTCTTGATAGAGTTCAAAAGTGTCTAAGGAGCCTTGTGGGTGATGAATTAATGTCCACTTTACAACCTCTTTCCCACAGATGAAATGTTGCAAGCCTCTTGCCGCTCACCCACTATTTCCCTGGCAAATGTTCTGATGCACTACATTCCTTGGTTCCACCACTCCTTGACTTTTACAAATGGGACCCACCATACCACAAAGATGAATTATCCCAATTCATTTTGTATTTGAACAATAAGAGGTAAGTTCCATTTGGAGAGCTTCTTCCTAAGAACTGCTGTTTTGTGGAATAGTCCCCAAGAAGGACATTTTTCAATCACTACAGTCTTGACCTCTTCAAGTCTAGGGCTAACCGTTATCTTTGCTGCATAATCACATGAACTTCCCTTCTTGATTGTGGGTCATTTAAAGCCAATTTTATAGTTCATCAAGTATGGATGAGAGTAAGTTTTATAATTCTTCAGATATGGTTGAAAGAAAATGTTCTAGTTTGTTAGGTATGGTTGAAGGAATATTTTTTGCCCAAGTATAGTAAAGAAGGAGTTTTATAGTTTGTCAGGAATGGTTGATTCTTTTATTTAGATCTCATGAAAGATTGTCTTCTTTATAAGATGTAGCACCAAAAATAATTTTCTTTTCTAAAAACAGATCTGCAATAAAGAAAACTGCCTATTTATTCCTTCCACCCTTTAATATGATGAGAAATAAATCTAATATATTGCTGAATCATAATCTGTGTATAATACATTGATTGATTCAATTTAATGACCTCTTAACCTTTTGTGGGTCATTTAAAGCCAAACTGATTGTACTGTAAACATATTTTACAGTTGGTCAAGTAAGTGTTATAGTTCTTTAGATATATTTGAAGGAAAAGTTTTCCCAACTAGGGTAGAGAAGAAGTTTTATTGCTCATTAGGTATGGTTGAAAACAAGTTTTATTGTTTGTCAAGAATGATTAAAAAAGTTTTTGTTTTTTAAATCCATACTTATAAACATTTTTTTTTATTTTTATTTATTTAGTTTTTTATATATATATATCTTATTGTAAAGTCCAATCTTTTTGACAAATTGCTTCACTTCTTGCTTTTCTTATGCTCATACAGCAGTATCCCTCTACCTTGAGTAACTCTTGGGCCTTGTAATGGATGAAAATTAGTATATAAAAAAATTTTAAAGAAAGATAAGCTATCATTATCAGGATTCATAACTACAGATTCTTTGAGGTCAAAATTCAGACAAGAACATTTGGGTTTGGAATTAAATTCACCATATTAATCATTTTTGTCTTGTCGACACAAACTATGAGATATCAGTAGACATGGACAGTGGAATGAGAAAAATCTATTGCTATATAAAAGGTTCAGTTCAACAGATGACTGAAGGTCAGTCAGAAATTTGAAACTACAGATTTTAAAGTTGGATTCTGATGAGACAAAAAGGATGACAAACCTTTGTTGAAACTGCGCTTACATGGAATGTTCTAAATGGTTGAGAAAACAGAAACTGCAAAATAAAAATAAGAAAGAATATTTAATTTAAAAAAATAATTTATAATTTTTTAAAAAAATTTGATTATAAATTTTACAAATACAAGACTACTGAAAAGAGAAACATGAAGAATCTATGAAATTAATATTTTATACATAGTGTTTGTTAATGATGCTGACTCTTGTGATCTTACTATGGATTGAACTCACCATCCTTGGCTAACAAATTTCTGAAGATATTAGACTCTTACTCCTCAGCTTAATAGATGTGTTTTAGCAGTGGCAGTAGCTTGTCTCCCTTCCTACCAAAGTGGATTTAATCTTGACATATATTGAAATTTCTCCTTGGGGTGAAATTTTCTATTGTTTGGTGAACTGTTGCCATCAATCAAGATCCTGTTTTAACATGATTCATTTTTTCAATAAGAGAAAATTATGGAATCATCAGCCAAAAAAAAAAAAAAAATCACAATTATTATTTTGCTAATCACTTTATTTAAGTTTATTGAAATTTCTCCTAAGTGTGAATATTTTTCTAATGACTGGTGAAATTCTGTCATTTAGTTTATTGAGCAACATCCTGTTTTATCACATAGTACCCCTAAAAAATAATTGCAGTATCTATGTGTAGACCAGCCCTTCTGTTTACAACCAGAGTAGCCATAGGCTCTATCTTTGATCAAAGTGTCACTCACTGGCAAAAAAATGCTTACTCTCTCTCTCTCAAAATACACACTTTGAAAAATACCTCCCTCATACACACACATACACACACACACAATCTTAAGTCTGGCAATGTCTTACTTTTTGAAGCCCTGCTGACTATAGAAAATGGAGGACAGTCTGCCAAGAAGGTATAAAGAACTTTGAAAAACCTATTTTAGTCCATCTTTATGATCTAAGATCTAACATCAAACCTTCCAACATGCTCCATTCACAATTCTGTTACTAAATGCGTCTTGGTGTGTAAACCAGCAGCTGGACAGGAGTGGCATTTAAGGCAGGGACATAGAAAATTAACTGAAAAGACTTGACCTCTCATACATCAAATCAACAGGAGAGACTATCATATCTATCTATATATGATAGATAGGTAGATAGATATGAATGGATTAAGACAGATACGAACAGACCGAGATAGATAGACAGATACGAACAGACCAAGATAGATAGACAGATACGAACAGACCGAGATAGATACATACATATGAACAGAATGAGATAGATATGTCATGAACAACCTTAGATAGAAAGATAGATATTCATTTGATTAAAAAACAATGAAACTTCCTTGATTATTTTTTATTTACTTTTTCACTATTTCCAGTAATTTCTCTGATTTCCAGTTCATATTTTTGTAAATATCTCCCTTCCTATATCTAAGTACTTTTGGCAAACACAAGACATTTTCAGAGACTTCGTTGTAGTCTCATGCATTTCCTGTGTTGCCTTTTATTACATTTTGCATAATCATGAGGGAGTGCATATCTTCTACTTTTTTTAAAATTAAAATATATTTAGTTAAGTATGTAATGTTTGAGATTTAATGTAATCTTTGCTTTGCTTTTTATGCTCAGTGCCTGGAGCAGTTGCAGTTGGTTTTTGCTGTTCATGCAGTATAGCACCTTTGAGCTGTCATTAAGGATTTACCTAATTTTGTGATTTTCCTTTATGTTGTTTGATGTTTCAATGTTGTTTGATAAGTGACAAGTTAAACAGCTCAGCAAGTGTTGTAACAAAACCAATATATGTGTTTGAATTGTTATTAGAGATGTCCCACTTCAAAATATTACAAAATGGAAATTACTTATGACTCAAACTAACAGCTAAAGCTTACGTACTGTAGAATAATGTTCAATTTTGGTGGATATTATAGAGTTTAGCACTCTAAACAATTTTCACAGAGCAAATACCAAATTACTTCCCTGAAACTTCTTTAGCTAACCTCATTTTCATGCGTCTAAAATAAAATGAAAAATTGTGGCCAAAATGTAATATAATTTTTTTTCTCTAAATAACAACTAATTAATGACAATGAAAAAAAGAATTTCCGGATATATTTATTTTACTTTGGGTTTTCCAAAGTCTGGTCAAGATCTGTTTCCAAATTATAATCTTGTATCAGGTTCGGCTTTAGTTTTCCAAAGTCTTGTGTAAATTTTACTACACGGTGATGAAATTATAATGTAGTCTTTATTTATGGAAAGAAAAAAAAATGCTTGAAATAAATTATATTGCATTTTAAAGGCTATTTTTTTCTTTATTTTCAGACCCATGACTTTTCAAATCCAAACAAAGGGTTCAGAATATAAGGTTGATGTAAGGGAGATAATTCAGTGTTTCATATCACCATTTTGGCAAACTTGAACATTTATGAGTGCAAAAAACAGAGTGTGAAAAATATGGTTTTTCTCTTGATACTGCTATTATTTTAACTACCTTCACATCTGAGCAATATTTATTGTTTTAAAAAGTGATGAATAGAATTTTAATAAAACCTAAACATATGAAAGTGAATTTATATATTTTCTTTATTTTTGAAAAGTGACAAAAATAATAAACACTATTAATTTATTAGATTGTTTATTGGAATGGTTGGCAAAATATTGGTTAATTGGCAATTGATTCAAATTTTATAAAATGGTAAATAATTAGGATTTACTTACATTAGGTTAACATTTTAATAATTTAGTAAATGTTTATAAATTTGTGAATAAAAAAGTGTTTTCATATTTGCTTCTTTATAAATTGGTAAATGATAAATATTGCATTGCATTATTTTTAATTGTATTAATTTTTAGAATGTTGTAATTATAACATTATTCTTGTAAATAAATCTAATAAGTCATGTTTAATACATTTGCTGTAAATTCTAAAGAACAAAAAATATATAAATATACATAATATCTAATGCTGATAGCACGACTCGGAGTTTTGTGCATTTGCTGCAATCTTCAGGTGCAAATACAATCTGATTGTTAATTCGCATTCTTTTGATGAGGATTCAAAATTTTGTGTTAAAATTTATTTAATTATTTCTGCCTAAAATATTAGAATTAACTAATTAATAATTTATATCATTTAAATTCATAAGTTCAAAAAGCAAAGAAATACAAAATTAAAAGAAATTTTTTTTTTTTTAATTATTTAAATTTGGATTTAAAGGTAAACAAAATATCAAGGGAAGTAACTCATTTTCAATCTAAATATCAGTAATATCAAATAACAAAACTAATACTTAGGATGGAAATATAATGTAAGGGTGCAAATAAATTTTTTTTTTTTAAATTAATAGGTTAGCGCTATCTAAATAATATGTTTGGAACATTATAAATAAAATCAAGTACAGTAATATTAGATTATATATGTGTATAGATATATATGAAACGTTATTAATGACGGGTTCTAAGAATATTAAAAGTTGTTGCATATCATAATATTTGTGTAATCTATTTTGTAATCTCTTTTAATCAAGGTCAATGTGTTTTAGCAGGTACTTGGATTTATGTATACATATAGACATAAATTCAGACATAGTGTTCAGCAGGTTAGGGTTATTTAAGTGTTTTAATAAGCTTCTCCAACAAACACAAGTTACATCTGTTTCCTTTTTCATTGTATGGCTTTGCTTTCAAGATTATTTTCCACCTAATATGTTAAAAATTATTTAAAAATTAAATCACAAGAGAGCAGAGACTTTACTTCCAGTTCTCTTGTGGTTTACTTTTAAAATAATTTTTAACATATTGTCTGGATAAATTTAAACCATTTTTTAATTTCAGTCTGATGAGGCAATTATTAAAAACTTATCTGCTGAAACAAATTTATTAATAGATTTTTTTTATGATTTTGTTAATTTTTTTCCTTTGATGTATATCATATCACGCTGTATACAATACATTGAGCTCTCTTCATGGATGTATCTTTTTAATATTTCATATTATAAAAACCTACTTGGATTATCCTTTCCACTTATGGATTTTATATATATATATATATATATATATATGTTAAATGAGGGACAGACAACTCTGTATACAAAACTCTGTAGTTAGGATGTTAAAGATAACATTAATCAGCTAAGTGAAAAACCTTTTTCTTATATTATTTATATATATATATATATATATATATATATATATATATATCAAATCTGTAAGTGGAGAGGATAATCCAAGTGGGTGTATTTAATATAAAACTTGTGAGGTGGGAAATACAGTGGAATGTCAGTGGGCAAAATACAAATCAGCAAATCCACGGTGAGCAAACTGCATTGAAGTGTGACCACTGAAAACATTTAAAATAAATAAAATTTTTGGTTGCATCATTCTGTTTTTTTGTCTAATCAGTTTTTTTTCTGTTATATAAATGTAGTAAATGTCCAGTGGAAATAACTGACAAATCTACAACATATTATTCATTTCTTTGATTCCTTGTGAAAAATTACCAAATTTATAAAGACAACTAGATTACTATGTCATTTCACAAAACAAATTGGGTCAGTATATACATTTTTCCTGTGTAACACATTTTAATGTTAATGGCCCTTCTCAAAACTATAGAAAATACCAAAATATTTGTTGTTTGCAAGGATATTTATATCTTAGGAATGTGACCCAGTTATTTCCATTTAACCTCCTGGTTTTTTGGTATGTTTTTTTATTATTATTATACAAGTTCTTTGCATATTTTCTTTGAATATTCTGTTTCAGGTAGCATATGTTGAAATTTGAAATACCTTTTTAATACTCAAAATCCTATATTTTCCACCAAAATTTCCAGTTTCCTACTATTTTTTGTTTATTTGCTCATCACCCACTCAACAGCTGAAATTGCTAACTGGTAAGTGATATCACCCAAGTTGAGAAGCCCTGGTTTATTGGTTACTATTGTCAATACTAAAAAGAGTTTTTCTTGTAGGCTCATTATTCAAGTATTTTTTTTTCATACCTGCTGCTTAACATTCACACCAAAAAAAAAAAAAAAAGTTTTATTCACCTTTGATTTATATTATAATATTTCTTATTTGTATATAAAAATATCTGTGAACTGGAACAATTAAAAAAAAAAAAAAGGGGGGGAAAGAAAAAAATGACTTTCAAACCTTGCTCAATTTTAGTGTCTAAAAGAACTATATATATTTTCCTCTTAAGTTAAAAAAACAAAATTTTTCTCCCAAAGATGCATGACCACTAAAATTGTAAATTTTGCTGCAAATGCATGAAACAGTGTACAAAAAACAATATGTACATATATTTACATATTGGAGAGGAATATTTGGTACAAGTAGTGAGATATGTTTCAAACTCTGTGTGTGTGTGTGTGTGTGTGTGTGTGTGTGTGTGAGACATCACCAACTTGTGCAACACAGTCTAAACATGTTCATTGATTCATTTTCTACAACTTATCAACCAGCTATTTGAAGCCAGAAAATATTTTTAGATTCTAAGAATTTTTTTTTGAAGATAATAATGATTTAGTGATACAAGTCTTACTAATTAACCCATAGCTGGTGGGGAGAAGAGGTGGATTCAAACCTTTCCCAAGAGTATTTGCAAGTAAGTGAATATAATGAACACAACTAAAATTGGAACTCAGCTCTTTCATTAACAATTCCAAGTTGTTATCCATTACACCATCCACTAATCCAAACTTACAGCTCTTGGTATTCCCAAGTGCTCACCAATCTAGGTACTGACCAGGCTCAATGTTGCTTAACTTTGGTGATCATATGGGAATCTGTGTTTCACTGCTATATGGTCATAAGCCCTAAACAGGTTCACTCTCCCTTTATCCAGCCTTTGGTTTAGGATCAAAGTGTAGTCCCTGTTCTCTCTTCCTTATAAAGTCATGTATTAGAAATCAGTTTTATTACACAGATGTTTGTAGTAAGTATATAAAATTTTTACTTATAAATATTAAATAAAATAAAGTAATAAGTAAATTTATTACTTATATCTAATATGTGAGAAAGCCCAGTACTGGGGATTCCAACACAGCAGCAGCATCTCTCCTATTTCACTAAAAAGTGAAGATAGGTGAAATACTAATACCAGCATGACAGTGGTCACAGGAAGTGGGCAATTTTTGATTTGACCCATAAAAAATAACCTTGTACTGCATCCAACCACCATGGTGCTGATTTCTTGTACTGCACCAGATATGCTATCTGCCAGATCATACTGTTGGATATCAGTTGAGAAAGACCTTTGACCTCAGTTCTGCTGCATCAAAGAGTGAGCAACAAATTGGAATGGGTAACAGCATAAACAGGAAATGCATCCAGTGGCTAAAATAAACAGGATGCACAAGTGTCCTAAGCGGAAGGAAATATATGCTTGTGTGGGTGCATGCTGGAAGAGGTGTGGCCATACAAAATTGCACATGGCCGGAAGAGGCATGGCCACACAAAACTGCACATGGCCAGAAGAGGTGTGGCCACAAGAAGTTGTGTAAGTGACATACCGGAAGAAGGCAAAGCCACGTAAAGTTGCATGGGTATCCAAATGTTATAAAACTGGTCCAACTCTTAGCCTAAGAGAGAGGCTGACTAGAGTTTCACCAAAGATTTGACTCAGTCAGTTCCTGTGTGCACAATTGTAACCTCTGAGATTCTCCTTCACTCTACCCAATCACCACAACTTGAACAATGAAGATAATTATTTTTTATATATAAGTGTTTGTTGGCTTATTTAAGTCAAGCAGCAATACCAAAAATGGAGTATTGTTGACATATTTGTTTTAGAGCTGCTCATGAACTCTGTCATGTCCAGCCCTGAGAGAATCCAAAAGTGATTATATGGAATTGTGGGTGATGAATTATTTCTTACCCTGTAACCCTTTCTCTACAGATAAACTGCTGCTAGCCTTTCACTCATCTATTCCTCTTTCCATGGAAAATGTTCAAACCAGTTACATTCCTTAGTTCCACCAATCCTGACCTTCAAGGCTAAGACCCAACATGCCACATACATAGCATCGGCTCATCCTCATTCCCTCCAATGAGGCAAAAGTTCCACTCAGATTCTTTCCCAGAACTATCACTCAGTGAACAGATTACTGAGAGGATGTTTCCCCAACCACGACAATCTTAACCTCTTCAAATCTAGGGGTTAACTGTTATCCATGTTACTTATACCAATAATCTCCAAGTCTTACCTCCTCTCTTTACACTCTTACAATAATTTCATTCAGTAACCCTCTACCTTGAGTGGCTCTTGGGACTTGAAATGCATGAACAATAGTAGAGAATATAAAAATGAGTAAACACATCCTGAATCTCCCTTTTTCACTTCTCGCTTGTTTCAACCTTTACTTCAAAAACTTGTTTGTTTAGGGGTGGTTGCACCTGTTAGGGTCCCAACTTTGAGCAAATAGCCAAGCCTCAAACTGGGGTCAAAACACTATGAAAGTGTAAAAATAGTTTTTTTTATAGTAAAAATAACAGCAATACATTTTTGGAAAAAAAAATATATTACCAGCAATAAAAATCTTGTCTGCATTAAATAACACATTGAGGTTGAATTCAGTGTAAATTTTTCGATACCTAATTTTAAGATGAAGTTTTAAAAATGAAAAAACATTCTTGAAGATTTCATTGTAGCTTTAATTAAGAGTTAAATAACTAAATTTAATTTACTATTTCCAGTAAGCAAATTACTCTGGTGTATTTCAAATATGGATTGGAATGGCAATTTTTTACTCGCTTTCACAAAACAAAATCCACTACAAGCGGTTATTTTCCACATTTTAAGACATTTAAGTAAAATTTAATTATCGGTTTTAATAATTTGAAGGAAAAGAAAATTTAATTTCTTGAAATTTCATGAAATTAAGGATGGATAACATATATAAAAAAAAAAAATTACCAAGATTTTTGAAAAAAAATACTTCCAAAATAATTTCATTCATTTCTGAATATGTCCTGAAAGTTTCATTAAAATCCGACAATTATTTGAATTTTGCAAGAATTTCCAAATTAACGTTTTTCACCGGAAAAAAGCGCAAAAAAAACTCTAAGTACGTCAATCGTGACATAAAAAAAAAAAGAAAGATTTTTTTAACCAAAATTTTGAAACTGTTAAAAATTGTAGAAAATTTAGAAAAATAATTAAAAAATACTTTGTTCTTTCCTCTTAATAATGACATATTTTGACGATAAAACTTTGTTTTTATTAAGTTTGGGTCCTTTTTTTTTTTTTCATCATATGTTGTTTCTCCGCGAATACTGAAGGTACCTACGTGAAACAATTGTAACCAAACTTGTTTTTTTGTTAATAAAATAATTGGTTATTTCAATGACTTAATTAATTTGCTTATTACTTACTTATTTATTCTTATTGTGAACGGTTGTAAATTCTTCGCATGTTTGACTTGAACTAGTATGGACAAGAAAGTATATTTTTATATCGAGTAAATTGAAAATTTCGAATAAGGAAGCAAACCAGATAAAAATCTTTAATTATTATTTAATCATTAATTTAATTTTTTGTTTATTTATATATATATATATATATATATATATATATATTAAATATCATTTATTTTGATTTTTCTTTCTTTTCTGGCCACATTGCCCCCCCAATTTATTATCAATTCAATCTACAGCTCGAAAGTTGCAGACAAAAATTCATTTTTTAGCAAACACAGAAAATGAAGATTTAGAAAAAAATGTTAGTCTTATAAAATAAAAATAATACATTTTATTAAAAACTTAAGAAGCCAATTAATTATTGAATGAAAAATAAAAATAAAATTATTTTCGACATTGGTTTTTCTTTTTATCATTTTTTTTTAACTTCTTCGTTCTGAGAAGCTAATTTTTTAAAACTTTTTTTAGCGTAATTAATTTATTTAATTATTTATTGTTAATTTTTTGTTGTTGTTGTTGTTTTTTACTCAATTTTTCATCTGCTTGCACGACCTCTTCGTCTTTCCGACTCTTAAAGTTTGTAAGTCGTACAAAATAAAAATGCTTTCTTTCTTTTTTTTTTTTTTTTTTTACGAGATAAGCCACTTCAGACTTATTCCTCCAAGTCAAAAAGTAAATATTCTTTTATTATAGTCACTTATAGTCTACTACATATAGCAGAAACTCAAAATTTATGGCCTTCAGCTTTCTCCTTTAACGCCGGACAAGTACTTGATGATTTAAAAAAAAAACATAATCGTGAATATGAAAGTAAGTAATCTTTGTTTCTGAAAGAGGAAAAAAGACGTGTCCAACCCAATGAGAAAAATATGTCTTAAATATCTGCTCTGTACCTGGGCTGGGGTAGTGAACAGATCTACTTACGGTAGGTCGGATAAGCAACGTTCGAAACATCTGCACTGTTTTCATAATCGACATGTTCAACGATTCCAAAAAAAAAATAAATGCTGAAATGTCGGTAATAATCAAAAGTTCGATAACTCTTCACTTCCAAGAGAAGATAACTCTATAAAACTTTAAACACGACACGTGGAAATCTTATGGGTATTTTAATTTTATTTATATCTGTCTCCACACCAGGGTAAATTGGATTCAATATCGGTTTACCGTGCGACTATTCAAACGTATATAGAGACACAGGTAAAAACTGCACATTTTCCATCGGCAGTTCAATTTTAGGAGGCCTCAGACATTGATTGAATGAAATGAAAGTGGAACGGGAGAGGGGCTCCCTTCAAATCCGAAGGACTGGTAAAGGAGGAAAAAAAATTCATGAGCCTGTGTGAGATTTTTGCCTTTCACAGAAATTAATCGGTCAGCTGAAGAAGAAGAAAAGAATTCATCAGTCTATGTGAAATTGTTTTTGAAAAAAACAGTGAAAACTTTGCCTTCAGAAAAATCAGCCTGTCAGTCAAGGAGTAAATACATTCGTGAGGCTACGCAAATTCCTTTTTATATAAAATGAGGAGAAAAAAATAAATTAATCAGAGAAGAGTGTCTGAAGTCGTGTGAAACGTTACGTTTCAGTTCCTCGCGACCAGCGTTGAAATACTCGCCAGTGTAAAATTACTCGGCAATTATATTATCGGCCTCTAATCAGTACGCAGCACCTCAAAAAAAATTCTCTCAACAGTCCAAGAAAATTAAGTATTTTTTTAAACTCTCTTTATCTACTTTTGAACGTATGCAAACCATATATCCCTTCGGTGAGCAACAAACTCTCTTACCTTTGTCTTAAACATTTTTTAATATTATCTTGTGTCAGATCATTTAATCTGTTGTATGAACATTTCCTCTTCATGACAATACGTTAAAACTACAGACTTTAAATATTTCTGATTTATTTTCCTCAAATGAGCAACTGACACTTTTTCAAGCGTGTGAATTCGTGAATCTTGTTTTGTTTAAAATTACCCGTGTGTTTCCTCGTTATTATCATCGTTATTAATCTTCTTGGCGTGGGTAAATCAACTATTCATTTTAACCTCTAATCTCCATGCCACTATAGTGGTACTTGGGGAAGGGGGTGATGGCCCCTGGTGCTAAATATATTTATTTGTTATCTGAGTTTGGAGTTAATGCGGGACTCCATAGGTAGTGATTTTTTTTTCTGCTTCATGTTCATCTGTAAACCCACCGTTTTTGTTTTTCTTCTTTTCTTACATTCGCAAGTCGCTTATTCCACTAGCTTGGTTACGTAATACCGACTTTACAGTCAATTGGCTTTCTTTTCCTCCCTCAGTTGGAGCCGGTGTTTCGATAAGGTTGTTTCGGGTTTCCCAAAATCTTACGATATTGGGATTGATGGCGAAGTTTAGTATGAACTCCTTATTCACGTTGCGTACTAGGGGCAGAACTGCCTAACCCCGTCGAAGATTACCCAATACTCTTCGAAGAATACACAATTTCCGATGAAAATTATGCAACAATTCCCATAGTCGTGGTAAACTTTTGTCTCTTTGGTCCAGGCGCTCGTCGGAACTCAGGTCGGTAAAAGAACTCCTTCAATGAAATGCACAGCACTGTTGATAACTCTAATAATAGGTTTATTAAATATGAATAAAACTGGTTGAATAAAATGTCTATTATCTATACTGCAAATCAAAATATACTACTACAGAAGTGGTGATTTGGAGATTATGGTGGCACCTATTAAAGTGATGCGCAGTCAACTCTTCGTTTATGCGTGACAGATTTCCAATTATAACCGCTCAGATAATGACCTCATCAACGTTTCTCAATTTTGTCATGGATGTGTCGGTGTTTTCATACCGGTCTAGAAACTGCTGATTTGCTCGTTAGCGACGACTTTGGCAAATCCGGGCCCACACCGAGATGCGGGCTGATGTCCACTCCACGCTCGGGGGAGAAATCACTCTCAGCGAACGCGCGCTCGACACATATAGAGGAATGTTTCCTGATAACGATGAATGATGACTTCCTTTACCTATACAAAGACGGGAGACAATGGCAATACCCAGTGCCTGAATTCCGCTATCTCCGTCTCCCGTAAGCCAAAGTCTGGCTTGTCTCACTCGTGCTAAAAATCCCAAATGTCAGCTATAAACATTTTTGACGAATGTCACAGAAATTAAAATAGACGGACCCGTCCCCAATCTTGGGTGCTAATCTTTATTTTTGTAGGGATATTTTTGGGGGGTGGTCGACACGACCCCTCTACACCAACCAGATGTTTTTCTGGCTCTTTGTCAAAAACAATTTAGATTTTATTTCGGTGACCACACGTTTTTTCTTTACCGATAAGGTATTGGAAACAACATGTTTTTCTATTTTCTCCGGATCAACATCTTTGACGATATATTGTCTCTTTCTTATTGGCGGAAATTGAGGAAGGATTGGGAGTCTTGGTTTTGTCATGGATGTGTCGGTGTTTTTATATCGGGTTAGAAATTGCGGGTGTGCTCGTTAGGATGGAGCTTTACCAGCTTGGATTTACCGGTATTGAATGTTTTGAAGACAGTTTTCACCGAGGAATACTGGAGCGTCTTAGAGACTCTGCTATGAAACGTCGGATGGCCGAAACATTTTTTTTTTTTTAAATACTAATGTTCAGCTAAGACAAAGCCCAAGTTCTATACAAAGTAGAGGGTGTTGTATCAGTGTAAGAAAAGGCAATAAGTGAAGTTCTTGGGCTTATGCTGGAAAGATAACGTTAAACCCTAGACATGAAGAAGTCAAAATTGTAAGCGATTGGGAAAGCTTCCTGTCGGGTGTCTGTGCCACTAAGTAAACAGTTTTGGGAAGAAGCTGTCCGAATGGAACTTCCTCCTTACTAATGAAATACGAAGGGAATTAGAATGATTTACACTTGTGGACGTGGCATGGTGGATCTCAGTTTGTAATGGTCAGATATGGCGGGACTAAGAAGTGTAGCCCGTCAGAACACATGTCATGGAAATAGAGATAGTCCAGCGGCGTTTCATCTGTGGAAAGGGATTGTATTTTGGGCCATAGATTTACTTTTCTAACAAAAAAGCGCCTTCTGAATCTATAAATACATTGTAATATTTTCTATCATTCTCTTATTTCACCCAAGGACGGTAAGATGGAAGTCGAAAGCAAAGAAAAGCGCTCACGCGCACCATTTTTTTATTTCCGTTTCCTTTAGACACGCGATGATATAGGTCTATCGCGAAAACGCGTTTCTCATTGGGAAACGCACACACACGTACGTACGCAATTTTATTTTACTACATTTTCTCTAGGACTTCCACAACATTTTACATACAGGAACAATTCATTAGTCCCTAAATGTTTTCATACATGTTCATTGTATTATCACATACAAGCAATATGATCGTCTTTCGCGCACGCATCAATGTAACTTTTTGTCTTTTTAATACATTATCGTTTGTTTGTATATAGATTGACTTTAATTGTTTTGTTATATTTTATTATCCGGAGTCCACCATTTTTGTTATGGGATAAACATTACAGGAGACACGTGTTTCCCATATCAAACACCAATGTATATACTTCCGCAATATATATATATATATATATATATATATATTCATAAATAATGCAGCTTAATTAATATTTTAAAATACCCATTCAAAGAATAAATTAATAAAGTTAATGTAATTAATGGGGAATTCACTTCGCTAACAGATTAAGGCATTAACTTACTGACAACTCGCTGAACGACACGATCCTTGTTTTTTAATTGTACAGCGGATTAGATATTCGGTTCATATTGCTTGCAAGTACTTTCGGTGAAAACATTCACCATCTTCAGGCATAGATTTTTTTTTTTTATATCTCAATTTCAGTTAAAAATTCCAAGACGAAAATGAATGTGATACTTGTCGAAAGATGTTTTATTAAAAAGTGTACTGTTATTGACATATATACAGGGTGCATCAAAAGTACTTTTACAAACTTTGGAGGCGGGTTCCTCACAACAAAACAATGACCAAAGTCCATATTAATCTTTCACTGGTGATGGTGTCTTGCTTGTATCGTCCCATGGGTATTTCGATCCGCCCGCAAATGTTATTCCGTCCGTCGTTCATTGCACCTGTGTTGATCATTCATTATCGGCTGTATTTGCATGTACACCTGATTTCGCTATGTTCGCAGATTTGTCCACTTGGTTGTGAGTTAACAATACGATTTCTTACTTAGCCGTTGGATCCTTCCTTCAGCTTGGATAAGTGGACTCCTATCTAACTTCCGGTCACGGAAAAACGACCCTTACAGTAACTGTTTGTTGCCCATTTCTCACTGCTTATATGGTTGCCAACTTCCATCAAGACAATGGAAAATTCTCGGTTAATAGTTAAGATATTTCAAATTATTACTGTATTGAGCAACCCACAATATGCATTAATTCACCTTTTTGTTTATCTTCTCTAATGCACCACACACACCTGTGTGAGTGCGACAAGTGAATGGCAGGGTGCCAACTTGGTCCCGTTGAGGCATACCGATATCAGGGTTCGGATATATAATACGCCACATATATCTTTAAGGCTTTGTTCATTTTTAAACTTTTAAGATTATAATTAAAGTGAGGCAATAAATCTTGTAATAATTCAATAGTCATCGAAAGATTTTTTTTTTTTTTATTCACCCGACATCTTTCTTTTATATTATTGATGATAGCAAATAAAAGCTTATAATTAATTGGATTGTTTTAATGTGTTTTTTTGTTATGATTCGGAGCACATCTTGCGCAATTTGCTAAGAGCTTGAGAAAAAAAAAAAACAAAAAAAAAAAACACGATACGTTACTCTTAGTGGGACGGGAGATAAGCAGACTGAAATTACAGATTGAATCTACGGACTGTCAAGGATTACTCAGACCTTCGAAAGTTTACAGAAAAAATATTGTACTTTGGGAACTTATGCAATAAACAATTTTAGTTGTA